TCCCGTTAGCCTCGCTTTCTGCCGTGCTTCATCAGGCAGCTGCGTGATGTCTGAGGTAGCAGCGGAAGCGAGTTTCCCCTCCAGTGCTCTGAGCAAAGCGTGACAAAGCAGCAATGGCTGGGCTACGGTTTTGGAGGGGGCAAGGCTGCCTTACAAATGTAAAATGTTCCGGGCACCTGATCCTGGGTGAAGCGCCATAGCTGGCGACTCTCTGGTGAGCACGAGATCTGCCAAGCACTGCTTGGCTGCTCCACTCGGTGCTCCTGGATGGAAAGAAACTGATGTTTGCCTTAAAACAGCTCCTACAGGCCCCCTCTGCTGTCACGTTTGGAGCCGTGGCAGCGCTCGTCTGGCATGGAGGGAGTCAATGCCTGTCCCCGAGGGGCTGGGAAAGGCAGTGGCGGCAGCGGGCGGGCGGGGGGGGGGAGCAGGGAGCTGGGGGGTGCCCCGGCAGGGCAGGGCGGCTGCTGCAGCGTGCCCGGTGGGCACAGCCCAGCTTTCCGCTCCAGCTCAGCCGCCTCGCTCCCCCCGAGCAAGGCTGCCTCCCCAGCGGTGGTAGAAGGACTTAAACCAAACTCCTAAGTATTGACATAAATAGACCTCGGAAAAACCTCCAGAAGACTCGTTTATGGTATTTTAAAGCACCTGGCCTTCAGCTGCATCCACACTGCTCGGGTACCTGCTTTCTATGAACGCAGCACTGATTGCCAGAACACAGTAAATGCTGGGAAATAGCTAGAAAAAGCAAAATTTTAGACTTTGTGCCAGTAGAGACATTTCTACTTAATGGGATGATGAGTCTCTCCAACGGGTACTTTGCCTGCAGCGTTTTCATAATGGTACATGTCAGGGTCCCACAGTCAAACAGCAAAGACGTGGAAAGAGGCAGGTGATTCTGGGAAACCACAGGAGTAAGGAATCTTTGGTTATAAGTAACAACACCTAGCTTATAGTCTCCTCAAATGTTTTCAAGATTTCAACAACAAGGATACACATCTGTCTTTGGTGATTTGCCCACATCTGCCCTGGAGGTAAAAACAGTAGTATCTAGAGAAAACAGAAAAATAATAAAAAAAAAAAAAAAAATAAATGAGAAAAAAATATACAAATTCGTGTCAGAGAAGGAATGGGGGAAGACCAAGTATCTTGAGCTAGTTGGTTAAAAGGCAGATGTCTCACTGTAGCCAGGTTTTCTTGGTGCCACCCTGCGCAGATGGTAGAAGCTGGTGGTTATCCAGAACTTGTCCTGTACAGGGTGAATCAAGAATGGGCAGGTGCAGGTATCACTCCTGAGCCTGACTAAGACCCGTGTGTTCAACCCTGGGAGCAGAAAAAAAATATGTGCAGTGGCTGGATGATTTAGACAGAGACTAACTTCTGGCTAGCCTTCTTTGGCTCCAGACGTTGACTACATCAGTGTTTTGACTCTGACCCCAGCATGGCTTTTTTTGGCCGTCTATGAGCACGTAGCACAGAATCTATCACAAAGCCATTTAACTGTGTTTTCTACTGCAGTGTATTAGGTTATAATTATTTCTAATGTAAAACATATGAAAAAGTTTCTGCTTTAGGAGACCTTGTTCTTTAGAAAGCTTTGCTCTACAGTTCAGGTACAACCTAGTGACCATGTGGCATCCTGAATGATCATTCAAAGCTGCTGAGGGAACTACTCGTGCTATGCACAGTGCTCAGGAGGAAAAACTAAGATCTAAAGCAGAAGGCCAGAAATGTTGTTTTTATCCCATGTAAGAGCAGAAACCACTTCAGCCTTTAGATCTGAGAACCAAGAGTGAGCTTCATCTTGCTTCAGAGACATTTGGAGGTTGGGTCTGGTCCACCTCCTCCTGCAAAAGAAAGGTTCCATTCTGATACGATTTTTTGCATGTGGCCCAGTACAGAAAAGGCACATTCATGTCTCCCTTTGGGAAATGCTTTCTCCTCAGGTCCCTACAGACAGCTGGCCTGAGCCTCAGCGAGCAGTCTGGCAGCAGTCTCTTAGAAGAGGAACCCTGTAAAACATCTTTTTGGTGACAGGGCACCCCCTTGCACATGACCGCAGTTGTCCCATTTTGCCCTCCAGTGGGGCCAGATGGACACCACTCATCGGGAAGGGGGAAAGCTGAGTGTTTCTGCCCTGGGGGAGGTGGCATGGCTGTAGCAACGGGCGAGGGCAGGGGGCTGCCGTCAGCGGCACACGGGAAGGTGGCTGCTCTCAGCAATTCGGCTAAAGCTGCCCGGGGTGTTGAGGCATCCCTGACATGGTTCCATGGCCTTGGTGCTGTGATTTTCTGCATGCAGCCCCACTGGGGCTAAAGCAAAGGGATCCCAGCTGCCCCTCGGAGAGAGGCTTGGGACAGGCTCCAGTCACTCCCAGGTCACATTTTGAAGCTTTCCTTCTGTGGATGGGGGATTTCCATGCATACCTTGGTCTTTCTGGATAAGCAGAGGACAGGGCCCTTGTCGCATTTGTGTTAAGCAGGTTTTGGGAAGGTGCCATGCACAGATGGATACAAAACATTTCAGCTGTTCCCTTGTTGTTGGCTGTAACAAAAGGATGCAATAATTTCACTGAACCCTGCTGATAATGTAGAAAATGTTTCTCTTCTTTTTTAGCTTCCCTGGCCTTTTTTCTTTTTTTTTTTTTTTTTTTTTTTTCTTTTTTTAATGCAACATTATTCAAACAGGTTGTCTACTGACAACTGAGATCATAGTGGCAAAGACAGTTTAAAAATATCATGAATTAATTATTTTCTCCAATGCTTGGCTGTATCACTTATCAGGACTTCAATGGGAGCACTGGCCCAGCTCTCTTACCATGTGCACACTAATGGCTTGCTCCTCTATTATCCCTTTTGATCAGACACAGGTGGACAACAAGGCCTCCTCCTTGTCTGTTGAAAAAAGGTGCACACTGTTGTCAGGGTGATTATATCTAATTACATCCTGGTTAATTAGCAGACATGAATAATTATAGCAGAACTACTGTCCTCCAGAGATAGGTGCATCTTCCAGATGTCACACTGCGGTCTCCACAGGGCAATTTCCTGAGACCTTTTGTCGGGATGTGCTGGCTGCAGGAAGGGGCTGTGGGGGGAACCACTGAGACCTGTCAGAGGCCAAACAGTCCAGTGGTCTTCACTTGCCCTCCCTGACCTTACAGCTAGCTGGGCTGGGTTTCTTTCTGTTATTGATACTGGTACTAGAGGTCACACACCCCTAAGGGTTCAGTGCCTGTGTCGGGGGAGAGCATGAAGGAAAATGTGTCCCCCCTCCTGCAGCCACACAAATGCTGGCAGGCTACAATTCCAGCAGCTTGGGCACAGCCATGTCCCACCTCTGTCCCTTGTCCCCACAGCACTGCCCAGCTGAGCCCAGCACAGGAGGTTCCATGCCCTCAAATTTCTGTTTCCTGACAGTGTCCTAATCCAGGTCTAAACCCCTCAAGAAGACTTCTTGTTGCTTGAATTATTGTGCTGGCTTGGCTATCAGAGCTGAGATACTCTTGTCTCTCCTGGTCCCCTTTACTGGTTGGTAGCTGATAGTTGGTAAATAGTTTCAGAGTATTATTTAGGCAAAACCTAAATAAGGAACAAATAGATACCATTTACACTAATAATAACAATGCCTGCCTCCAGTTAAATAAGTCTAAGGTTGAGAGAGCTGTCACTGAACGACCTTGTGAGGTTAATTGAAACCAGTTCTCCTCAAAACACAAACCCATCTTCAAATGTGTTAGAGCCACCTACTGTGCAGGTACGGAGGTGCCCCTTGTGCTCCCACTCTAGAGATGTCTGCCAGAGCAATCCTAATGTTTATGTTGACGGGCTAGATCAGGTGGCGGCAATCATCTCAAACCCCGTGTTCCTACAGCCCACTCCACTGTCCTGCTCCTCACCCTGCAGCTTGTTCTGTAAGGTCTCCTCAGCCCAGTTCTGGTTGTTCTGTGAAAGTTGTGAATAACTCTGACAACCTGAAAACAACAAAAGAAGTTTTCAAAATTAATTTGTTGGATTTGTTGTAACATATGAACACTTTCATTTCAAAGGCTACTCCAGAATCTGCACTGTGGACAAGCGCCATAAAGAAACAAACAACACAAGAAACACCCTATAAATTTATCTGAATAAATTCATGTTTATCAAATAATTTGTATTAAACACATTTGAATATTTAATTTCATGCCATAATTGACTGGCTATGAAGAGACATCAGGGATCCATATTATAAGCATCTTCCTTGGTCCTTAACCCAAAATGTTACATCCTAACAGTCATTCAATGAAAAGAAGAAGAAAAAAAAAAGCATAAAAATATAATAAAGTAAAATAAAATATCTATCAGTTTCCGAGTTTCTTTAGTATAATTCTGACATTCTTTTTCAGTATAAATGTCAAGTTTTACTTTCAGTCTTAGTATGTTCTTGGGCTCAAAAGATACATCTACATTAAAATCTGAGTTTGGATCTGAGGTGTGCTTTTGAATAATTTCTCTCCATGGTCCCCATGTGCCATGCTTTGGTTCACAGCATGGAGTGTTCATTTCTATCTGGTGCATTTCTATGGGATGAAAATAAACCACCGTACACACCCAAAGGGCAAGACTGACGCGCTGCTGCTGCTGAATGTTTGGTCCCTGGGACCAGAGTAGGTCTAGTCCAGTGTAAAAGCCCCAAAGGCACAAAATGTGGGTGGTGGGTCCCCAGCACCAGTTGCTCAATCCACAAGCCCACTCCTATCATGACAAACCACTTCCTCCTATAGGCTTAGTAACTGATGTCTGGTAGCATCGAGGCCAATGATACACGTGCAAAACATTTTCTGTTATCAGTTCTGAAATTGCTACTTTTTCAAATTGCTCACTCCTTTCTTGCTCCTGAATTGTAACACAGGCCAAATAGGCTTTCTATTTGCTAGCTGTTTATCAAAACCTACCTTTACAATACTTATACCATATCACCTCCTTTCCACCTTTTTTTAAAGGTAAACTGTCCAGTATTTTCAGTCTCTTCTCACATGGGAAATGTCACATGTCCTTTTCCATTCCTGTCACCTTTCCCTGAACTCTGTCTTGCTTTGCTGCAGGATTCTTGTGAAACTTGGGAGTATTGGGCGACCAGTCCTGCATGTGTTATTCCAAATGTGAATGCATCATCGATTTACATCATTAATTGCCTGCATTTCGCACATTATTCTCCATCCTGTTCCTTTTGCAGTCTAACATCTTGCCTGACCAATAAATTAGAGCTGTGTTCTACATCCAAATGATCACTGAGCCATCCACAGTGGCACTCAGCTGCCTTTCCCAAACCACTACAGGTAATTGAGGACCCTGTAAGGCATATGAGCAGATCCATTTTCTTCTCCCTCTTCAGTGTGCAACACTTTGTCTGAACAGAGCTGAACTTTGTCTGGTACCATGTCATCTATTCATCTAGTCGGATTAGGTGCCTCTGAAGTTTCTAATAGCCTTTTCAGATTTTGACTGATTCTGTATTCTTTGCAGATTTGGTGGACTCACAGCCACTTTTTTCCAGATCTTTCCTGAAAATCCTGAGTGACCCAGGAAGCACTATGGAACCTTAAATAACACGAAAGGTAAATTTTTGACATGATGGAACAGATATTTAAACTATTTTTTGTTTCCTATCTCAGAGTTAATTAAAACTCTTCTATGAGCAAAAGTTATACTGACTTATGTTTTTCCTTTTTTTTTTTTTTTTTTTTTTTTCCCCTCCTCTTTCAGTAGCCAGGGCTGTCCCATCCATATAGGTGCAAGCAGAGAAAATATGAGTCCATTCAGGTCAGCAAGAGGAGGCATCTTGCCCTGAGACTATTTCAAAACACTAAGGATGGCTGTGGTTCCCAGTGGTACCACTAACAGCCCTATGCCTCCTAGGGGTAATTTCCCTCTATTCTATTGTAATTAAAACCACCATTTTCCTTTATTCCTCTGTCAGCCTGTATTTGCCTGAGGTTTCAGGAGCACTGTGTCTGTCCCTATTTTTACTTCTGTTTTATTTTGAGGGAAGAAAAGTGCACGATATGGCATTGCCCAAGAGTGGCAGACTCAAACATGGCAAGGAGGAGAGGGACAGGAAAAGTGCCAAGCATGAATTACGTCTGCATTCTGCCAGAACAATGCCACATCCTACAGACGTGTCCTGGAGCACACAGCACTCTAGTGATAATTTCACAGAATTAATTTTCCCAAAATGAAAAAAAAAAAGGCAACAGCACAGAAAAGATGAGGCAAATTACCAACACTAATCAGTCTCCCTCTCTCTCTTCCCTGTCCCCTTGTATGATAATTATGATAATTAACAAGCTAACAAGCTTCTAGTAAAAACAGTTCCAGAATTTCAATGTATAATTAATATTTACATCCATAACAAGTTGTCATTTATGGTGCATGTTGATTTTCTTTTTTCAAAAGAAATGGTTCTTTATACTCAGAAAAGAAAAATCCTTTGAGAACATGCACTAAAAAGGAATCCTAAATTCAGAAACCTTGTCCTTATTTGCTATTTATTTGTGCAGGGATATGCAAGTGTTTTAACATCTGGATTTCTTACAAATTAGGAGTGCACATATGTAAACAGATGCAGTTTCCTTTTTTTTTTTTTTTTTCCCCACAGAAGAGAAGGCCACAAATTTGCCACCATATTCAAAATCAGAAAACACATACATCAACAATGTACTTGTATTTCAGGTGGGTCTTCGCACATAAATCTTTTATCATTATTTAGTGACATGTAAAGCCAAGTTCAGGTGGCCAGTCATTTGCAGAATTTATGGACCCTTAGTATGCAAAACTCTGCTGCTAGTTGTTTCATGTTTTCTCCAAGCAAGCTGGATCTGTAATTTTCCACCTGCTGGGGAATAGAGAGCAAGAGGCAAATACTTTAGTAAAATAGGCTCATATTTCTCGGTGCTCATGCAGGGTGGTAGCCATGTTCAGATATCACAGTGATGATGGACAAAAGTTGCACAGGGAAATAGTAGTCAACAACCACTTCTCTCTGAGTATAAAATCATCACCCATGGGCAGCTGAATAAACTGGCCGCAACAAACACCTTAAACTGGCAGCTTCTGCTTTACGGCTGAAATATTTTAACCTGAGAAAAAAGAATGGTACTATCTCAAGGGCAGGTACCGATTGAGTTCCTCTTAACCCATCCATATGTGATGGCTCTCATCTCACCCTGTGGCAAATGGTTGTCCTCAGACTCTCACAAAACAATGACACTTCAAAGGAGTAACTGAAAGAGACAGGACACTGATTGACACAGAATAAAAAAATAGGTTAAATGATGAAGCAAATTGACATGGAGATACAAAGAAGAGAAGCAATGGGAGATACACCCAAGAAAAATTTTGTGAAGACTTACTGTCCTTATTCATTAATATATGATCCAACATTTTATGTGCCTTGGCCAGCTGGTTTTCAGGTTTCGTCTTCCCCACAAGTGCAATAACCAAATTTTCAAAGGAGCCGTGGGCAGTGAGGTGAAGGTCTTGTTCCATCAGCCCAGTCCCAGGGGAAGGATGATGCTGCTGTGGGGTGGGAGCCAGCTCATCCTTCAGCCCCCACCGGTGGAGACCACAGCAAATGCTCCCGGGCTATCTGCTTGTCAGGAGGGTTGGGAACGGGGAACAAGAGGAAGAAAAAGAGGGGGAGTTCACACCTGGAAAACTACAGTGGCTTTGAGTGTCTCTAAGACACAGGTATTCAGGAAAAGGAAAGACACCATAAATATCCACAACCTAGAGAGAAACTCAGAGAAGTAGCCAACTTCAGAAGGCAGTCAACACTTAGTATTTAAGTTGGAACTGAAGGTAGATTTCCATAGAAGTGAAGTTGGACCTGAGTTCTGGCATTACTTCTTTGCTAGATGAGATGAAACATGTGGTCCAGATGTGCAGTGAAGTCCACAGAACCTGAACTAATTAAAACAATTCATTAAATCAGCCACTCACATCCCAGCTGTGGAGGTGTTCATAAGCATTCATCTGTACCAAGTCATCATTTTGTATGAAATTTCATGGGAAGAAAAGAAAGAGTCATGGCCTTGTGCTTCCTCCAAAATACTATGCAAACAGATCCCTACCAAATGTTGATAGTTGAGTCATCTTGTGGCTGCTTCCCAAGTGACTGGTAAACTTTGAATGAATTCTCTACAAATGGATGGCACCCATCTTGGTTGGACACTTTCACAAAATTGATTTAACATGCACAAAAAGTCAGAACAGAAATAGGTCTTATGTACAAACCTAGAAGACTCCTCCTAAATTCTGACAACTGTAGTTATTTCAGGCCTGAAGGAGGGTACTTTTCCATCATGAAAGGTAGAAAAAGTATTGTACAGAGGCTGCTCAACAGCTGTTGGATCACACATTTGATTAATAAGGGCAAAATAATGACACAGGAGATTTAGATTTCTTCCACAAAGCATTTCACCTGGTACATATGGCATTTTAATTAAGAAAGTAGGACACTACAAGACAAAAACTCTTAAATTTATTAAAAATGAACTGATAGTTCTCAAAGTGCAATTTGAAATGGGAAATCTTTATCATGAGCTTCAATTTAAGTAAGTGGGTGTGACTTTTATACGTGTTATGTGTAATTATATCTATTTTTATCAGTGGGGAAAAATTAGTTTTAACATTGGAGGTTGTACAAGATAACACTCTTCTATTTATCTATGTGCAATTAAGAATTATGGTAGAAGTTAGGCAGTTCAGATGGTCCTCTTAAGCCATAAAATATCGTGATGTACTGAAATTCCGCTTTTACTGTGGAAACCAATACATTTCTCTGCTGGAGTGTCAGTCACTTAATAACTGTGCACTGATCCAACAGTGGAAATATTTAGAGGTTGTTTAGTCAATCAAATAGTTCAACAGGGTACAACTATACAGAGGCAAATTAATAACAGTAAAGCAAACAATCCTACTGTTGTTAAGGAGAAGGATGCAAAACTGTTTTGACAGTGATTAAATAATAAGCTTCAGATGAAAAAAGGAAATAAAGACACACTTTCTTGCAGTAATTTCAGCTGAATCAGGTAACCCTCTAAGGACAGAGAGAACAAGTTTACCTAGGTATGATTCTGAAGGAAAACTATCACTAGAAAAAGAAGTTGAACACTTTAGAAACCCTTTCCAACTCTTCAGAAGGATGAGAAATAAAAATAAAACAAAGGTATATAAATGTAGTTGTTATTTCTTCAGATTTGTATCTCCCATGTTCTGCTAAGTAGTGTAACATTGTTAGTCTGGCGCAAAGCCTTTCTGTGCCTCTGTGGGCTCGTATGGGGTCCGTCTGCGGCCCCAGAGTACCCATAAGGATGCAGCTTTGTAAAGGTCTGGCTGTGCAGTAGCACGCACACAGTAGTCTGCAGCTCACAGAGCAAAGGCAGAACCCCTTCCTGAGATCCCGGAGCCGCTGGGCTGCGAGATCCCATTATGGCAGAATTCTGGTTAGAGGCAATTTTGGCTTACTTTGGACTGATACTAAATCTCACACAAAAATTTCTCACAGATGGGAAACTGCTTCTTACCCAGTGGTGAAGGAAAAGTTTGGCATGGCCTTTACCATATCCTCAGAGGGTGCCCCAACAAAGCTTCACTTACTGGACATGCAAGCTTTATTGTTAGCACAGGCAACTCAGTTTTACCAGGAGAAAGAAGACCGCCGGCTGCATTATTTATCCTCTAAAGTTAAGGTCTTTTTGATAGCCTGCGTTTGGGCCATGGCGACTTGAGAAACAAAGACTCAGATCTTAAAATCAAAAGCCATCACTGTGCTACACATCCAAACTTTCAAAGGGCCCCTGCTTCACTGAATATGTTTTAAATTAGAATGGAGAAGGAAACAAATCTGTTCACACAATAAATAGATCTTCCACTTTGGGTGCACAATACAAGACTTGGAGAACCAAGAAGCTATTCTTATCGCAGAACATGGCTGCAATAGAGAAATAGTCCAGAGTGGCTACAGAGCAGTATTAACATCCAGCTTGGACACACTCTTTTTCTACTGAGTGCTGCTTACATTTAGCCAGTTCTGGAGGTGGGTTAAGTGGAATGATCAAAAGACGTTCTTTGTGACAAATAAAGGCATCTGTTTAAGGAGCTGATTCAGAGCATTGTTTTAAATTCACACCCTCACACACACTCACTTATTTTGCAATAGCCTCCCATGAAGGCAGGTGCTGAGCCTACAGAAAAGTAGGTGCTATGGGAGAACATTTGTTGGAAAAAAACCATGTAGCTTTTCATCATTATAGCTGCACTATGTCCTCTATTTTGCTCTTTTACTGATGTCATTTTAACAGATGCACGCTCAGTATTAGGAGTGCTGTTTCCGTTAGTCCTCAGGAATTCTCCTCCCTTTATGTCATTTTATAAAAACACCTGAGCACGAGGTGGAGCAAGCTCCCAGTGACTGACAGGGCTGGACGGCTCTGCAGGCTGGAAGGAGGTGGGCACACTCCAGCGTGCCGTCCTTCGGCCCCTGGAGAGGCTGCAGAGCGTAACTCAGAGCCTGGGCAATCTACTGCCTCACGGCCATGCTGGCTGAAGCAGAGGGTGGCTGGAGCAGGTTGGAAGCTGCAGTCAGTTTTGCCCAACCATGCCGAAGGGTGAGTCAAGCAGGCGCTGTTAGCAGTGAGGAAGAGTGAATGGGCTTGGTCTGCTGTCATTCTCAAACGCTTCTGAATCAGTTAGGCATACTTTTGTGCCTGCCCAGGGATGGCAATACCTGTGATGGACATGGGATGGGAATGCATCATCATGCAACTCTCCCTCCAGACATGATAATGCTGTCTCCTCTGTGGACAATTCCCAGCACCTGGAAAGAGCTAGGAGGAACCAGTAGCTATTGATGATCTTGCTCTGAGTGGGATTTCCAAGGCAATGGCTCCCTGGAACTTCCCTTTTGTTTCCAGGAGAAGCAGCCATCTACCACTCCCCTGACTCAGCCAAGGCCTGAGACATACTTTATTCTCTGCCAGTGCTACCCCAAACAGAGTTTTTAATTGCTAACACATGTAAATCTAAAAAGATCCCTTAAGAATCAATGTAAGTTTTTCATGTAAATATGGGGTCTGTATACAACAAAAGAGGGAGAAAGAAGGAGAAGAGAAGAAGAAAGGAAAGAAAGCAAGCAAGTCCATACCCAACAGCTGGGACCTTGTCTACACTCATCACAAAACATAAGGACAGGTATCATTCTCCTCACTTTATTCATGAGAAAGTGGAGCTCTCTCTCACTCACATGCTCTTTCTTTCTCTTTTCCTAGCGTTTTCAGAGACTTCTCTCTTTAGTCAGTCATTCTTGCCGTACGTTTCTTTAAATTGTAATTGGATAATCTTCCAGACTCTGGGATGCCCTTTGTCAGAGGAATTCCTGGATGTGCAGGCCCTGTGTGATGAAGTTGACAGTCTCTAAATTAACAAAGGACCAACGAAGGATATGATTCTTTGTTTGCAGTAGAAATCCTGTTCTAGCAGCAACTACTTTTAAGGAACCCTCTAACAGAATATGTATGCTTGTACATTCATGTTACTATATTTTATTTTATATTAAATAAGACTCTGAATTTATTAATACTTATTACCATGACCTGTGCACATGTCTCATAGGGAAATTGGACCTCAGGCTACATGCTTGCAAGCCTCAACCTTGGCAATCCCAAATGTAA